GGTCTGGAAAAAGTCTTCAAATCTGCCCTTTTCCAAAAATGATAAATGTATGACCAGAAAAAATAGCTGAGAAAGGTTTTGGCTACATTAATCTGAAAGTATAGTACTTTTTTTTTCTTGGTAAGTGTTTTATGGCGCTCGCAGCTGCATAAGGTCACATGATCACACGGGACACGCTAAACATTTTCAGTTGGTAGGAAATTTTGAATTTTGCCCGGGTGGCAGCAAAAACCTACCCTTATCGATTTTGGACCAGTAAGGGATCTTTAACGTGCGCAACTTGCAAACAGGACCTCCAAGATTGTTCCCCCATGTCAGAGAAGGCTAGATGTACATCTTTCCTACCATAAGATCAGGGGTGCGGCTGTAAGACAGCAGTAAGGAGCCAAGGAGTAGCAGTAGAAAGGCTGCAGAAATAGTCAGAGCCTAGAGGAGGGGGCGGGGGCAGAAAGTGGAGACGAAAGCAGACGACAAAACATTGTTAAAGAACAGGAAAGGAGAAAATTTTAGAGAAGAATATTTTCCGTCACTATCCGGATTCGAACCTGGGACCTATTGAAGGGAAGGCAAACACCTTAAGAGCCCCGAGTGTAGTACATTAACAGTCACTGGGTAATAACTTGACATCATTAAACAGACAAAATCTAAATTTAATACTGATGGACATAGGAGTCCTAATTGTCACTAAATTGGATCATAGGATCATTGTTAACCATCACAAAAAACAAAGGCAGAAGCATGGGCAAACAAACAGTAAAATAATGTTCATGATGATGCAGGAGAAAGACAGCAGCAGAAAAATTATTACAATATGTAAAACAAAAATTGACTGTCATGCTGAGACAGCAGCTCTACTCTGGGAGTCAATACTCCCTCAACTTATTCATATAAATAAAAATATCAATATTATAGTGACAAGATCCCATGTCACATGAATCCATTTTCAAGTGCTACAACTTACAAGAAAGGATGTTAAAAAACACTTTCAACCACCAAGAGAGCAAAACATGATACTGGTGGTTTAAACTATGGTACTTCAATTATATTACAATGCTAAAATTCAAACCAATTGGGGCTAAACCCTCTCCCTCACTACTTACTCGGACCTTCATGAAATAAACTCCTTTCACTGAACTGAAAAAAAAAGTTTAAAAGCAGACACTAGCAGACCTACAACTGTTCTGTGGGTAGAAACTTTTGAATCAATAACTATTTAACAATGATGAACCAACAGAGCACAAACAAAGACCTACAAAAATCTGTATTTGTATCACGACGCAGTGGAATCAGGCGCTCATCAATTTTTGGGCATATAGGGAGTTATTGGAATCATCCTAGAGCTTGTTTATTTGTCTTGCTTTAAGTGAAAAAATTAACCATCTATCTTGAATAGAATTGGAGATAATTGAAGGAGGTGGGAATAGCCTAGTTTCAGAGGTAAAAATAGCGAGAAAATAGACTCCAAATTTCAATTAATTTCATAGCTGGAGAGCCCTGGGAAAAACGAAAATTTACATTTTTTCCTGCTTTTAATCAACATTTTTCAGGAAAATCCACAGAGCGATCATGTGTCTTTGAATGGACATGAAAGATGTTTAGCCAAAAAACAAAAAATTTGGTAAAAATTGCCAAAAACACAGAAAATCACCTGTTTCTTACCACGCTGCCTCACATTTTAACCCCCACACAAAATCTGACAAACATGTATCTAGAAAAAAATGTGTTTTATAAAATTCCATTTATAAAGTGCTCTACCCCTGTTAAAGAACAAACTCTGAGCACTTTTCAAACACATAGTAAGAACACAGACAATGCATTGTGTTCTGACTAAAGACCAACATATAAGCCTATTTCATCTAAGAACAAAAATGACTTGAGTTGACTTTTAAACATGAATCAAATAATCTGATTTCTCTTAAATTTAAGCAGTGTGTTTCAGATCTTGGGGCCATGAAATGAAAATAATACTTGTGATAATCCAAACAGAACATGGTGGTATTCATTGCAACAAAAAGTAGAAAGTTCTAATCTTCAAAACAATAGTTGGTTTTCGTTTACTTTTCCTCCTGTTTCATATTTAGCTGCAATAGTGTTCATTTTTTACTACATACTGATACTGATGCAGTGAACATGAATATCGACTTCATTTCCGTAGCAAATTAATAGTTCAACAAATATTTGATGGTTACATACATTTGCACCAGCTTTAAAAGAGTGCAAGTACGCAGAGACAGAGTTTTCTGGAGCTTTTACTTTTTGACTAAAAATAGAAACAAGTGGAAGCCTAGGAGGCACAGACTTTATTTTTGGATAGAATCAAATGTGCAACGAGACATCCCATGGGTCAAACGATACGCGAAAGCCAAGTCTAGGTTGAGGTGGCGTTGAAGTTGCCCCCTGGCCGAATTTTCCCCAAACCTATGTGATGAGATAAACTGTGATGAAATCACTGGAGGTATGTGACGGCTTCACAGTGTGACGAGTTCACTGGTATCCGGAGAGATAGCCTATCAAACCTAAATTCTAAATGCAAACGAAGTGTATACAGACCCGGTAACCGGGAACAAAGTCACGAAGTATACAGACCCGGTAGGGGAACTCTTGTGATTTCGGAAAGTTTCAGCG